GGGCTTAGAGGTTTAGGGCTTAGGGTTTAGGGTTTTAGGGTTTAGGGTTTAGGGAACTTCCGCTTGAAGTCATTGCGGGTTTGACTAGCGCTGCCGTAGGACTTGTGCCGCTGCCACTGCTGCGGCTCCTGCAGTTCATGGCGACTACGACAATGACCACAACTACTTTTCCTGCTACAACCCTAAACCCCAAACCCTACACCCTAATCCCTAAACCCCAAACCCTAAATCCTAAACCCCAAACCCTAAACCCCAAACCCTAAACCTTAAACCCTAACCCCAAACCCTAATTAAACCCGAAACCCTAAACCAATGCCCAGCACTGGCCAAGCCCTGCTGCCCAAAGCCTATAAGCCCTTATTTAGGGTTTAGGGTTTAGGGGTTTAGGTTTTCGGGGTTTCGGGTTCAGGGGTTCAGGGGTTTAGGGTTCGGGGTTGAGGGGTTTAGAGTTTAGGGTTTCGGGGTTTCGGGTTTCGGGCTTAGGAGCTTAAGGGTTTAGGGTTTGCTACTGCTGCCGCGGGCCGCGCCTGCAGTAGCGGCGCGGCCTTGGCGTTGATCTGCCGCCAAGCCTATTATAGAGAGGGAGGTGTTCAATTCTGGGAGGCTTAGGCAACCCTTAAAAATTAAACCCTAAACCGGGTTAGGGATCAGGGTTTATAAGGTTTGGGGAGAAGGAGGTGTTCAACTTGGGGCCCAAATGTGGGGAGGTCGGGCTTTTAGGCTAAAGGAGTTTTGGGTTCTTATGGTCCAGGCGTTTTAAGTTTTGGTTCAGGTTGCACGGTGGGTTAGACTAGTTTAGCAGCGATTGTGCCTTGCGACTGGGGCTTTGATTCCAGAGATGTAATTGCTCGCCAGTTAGACCTGCCTGAAGGGTTGTGAAGGGTCAAGAACCTAGAAACGTTGGCGTTGTCGTTTCAAGAGTTTCTCATGGGTTAAATTTGCGACCGGGTTTAGGTGTTACACCTGTCGGGTATTGGTTTTGAATGCAAGGTAACGTTCTGGGCACAGGAATTCAATGTTGTTACAGGAAGGAGCTCGTGCCAAACAAACACGACCCTGGGACCAGGATCGAGCGCCAGCTAGTCAGGATTTCGAGGGAGTTCATTGATGTAGTCGGTGGCATCCAACTTCCATAGTTACAGTAGGGATCGCTTTGTTTCCAATCGCGTCACTCCAGACTCGAAGTCGATCTGAACTTCGGAGCTAATGAGGGTCTGGCAGGTTTACAGCAGATCCGAATCGAAACGGTGAGTCACTCATTTGTCTTTTTTTGTTCTTCACACCAGCTTCGAACTTCTTCTATCCCATGGACCTGAATCTCGCGGAACAGTTGAATCACGAAAACCGTCACGAACCGACCCCGAACCCACCTGGGCCAGCGCCGGACCGACAGGATCTGGACCCGATTCCAAGCGACCGGCTGTTTG